TACCCAGCCGAGGCGGGACGAGCATCCCTGGACGAAGGCGCACGTGGGAAGGAGGGACTGACACCCAACACCGGGTGCTGCCTCCCCCCGTGATGGCCTTGGGGTGGGAGTCCTGCCATTCCTGGTGGTTTTTTTAATGGAACTTAAACTATATTTAGATCAAAAATAAATACATTCTTGGCTTGAGCACACTTTTCAATGCCTGATGAATGAGCAGGACCTCTTTCACAGGAAACTATAAAATTCCCAGGGTGATGGCTTGCCTCTGCTGAGGCGAAGGGAAGCAGAGCTCTGCACTCCCGCTCCGCCTGCCAGCCTGTGCTCGATGTCTTCACTAGCAGAGAGGACTGGTCATTACTGCTATTAATAATTGCACTACTATGTTTATTACTAATGCTGTACGGGAATGAGGAAAGAAAAATCCTTATCCTGTGTTTTAAAGAAAGCGAAGCTTTGTAAGGCCCTGCTGGGTGGGACCAGGGGCACCCTGGTCTGGCTGGACCATCAGAGATGCTGTTTGAGGGCAGTATCTGAGCCCTCATTTTTTGCCATCTCTTCCCCTCGTGTTTTCCAGCACCATAACTAGGGATGTTCGGGGGCTTTGGCTAGTCCCTTAATATGTCTTTTTGAGCTTTCTGCCCAGGAATTCATCCAGCCTGTGTGCCTGTGCAGCCGCCCAGGGTAACAAACGCCACGGACGCAGGCTGCAGCTTGAGCACAACTGTAGGTTTGCTTAAATTGACTGTTATTTCAGTGGCTGCAGCATGTGTCTGAGTAACCTCTTGGTGGGGACCCCATGTGCAATGAAGGGAGAAAACTCTGCTGGGTGAGTCCAAAGTTTCCCACTGCCCCCCTGCCCCCTGAGCCTTTGAGGGTTTATAAAACAAGTTCAATCTTTTGACACAACAGCCCCTAAATGCAATTTCACCCAATAAACATGATAAATTCGTCGCAGAGGCCATGCTTTCAGCTCATACTCTTCTGTTCTTGGTGACAGAGGAGCGCAGCATCGCAGAAGACAGGAGGCGGATGGATTCCCAGTGGGTTTGGCTGGGCGTCGACCCCCGCCCTCCAGCCCCTCTCCGCAGCTCCGTCCTCCCCCAGGGCCCCGAGCACACAGGGATAACCCAAACACCTCCTCCATGCCAGGAGGGATGAAGTCTTGCACCGAAGCCTACCAGCTTCCCGCTGGCTCCCCTGTCCCACCCAGGTCCCCTGTGGCCCCCAGGGCCAGCGGTGCCTGCTCCAGCCCCAGGAGCTGCAGGCAGCAGCGTGGGGTCTGGGGAGAAGGAGCTGTGTGCTCCCCTTCCCCACTTCTTC